TGCGCTATGAAGCTGAGTCGGAGAGTGTGTATCCTCTGAGCGCATATCCGATATTAGTATCGAATTTGGCGGTGAGAATGGTCTCTCCATGATCTGAATAGCATCCGCGAGTGCTCAGAGAGAGAGAGCGAATGCTGAGAGGGTAGAACGGAGCATCGTTGGCGGCATGATTGTGGTGATTGTTGTTTCTTCTCGTTGTATGCTTGTGTTTGTGTTTGCATTATTCCGTTGGAGATGTATGACGTCAAAATCAGCCTCGCTATGGTGGAGGTGCGAGCGCAAGGCTCACAATCACTTGGCGAGCGCTCTGCAGCGAGCACTCTGTAGAGCACTCTGCACAACCGCTTGGCGGCGAGAGCCTCATTGGATGACAAATCGTTCGTAGAGCACTCTGCACCGCCTGCAGGAAAGAGCCTCCGCCTTGGCAGACTGCAAATTCTCGAGTCCAATGAAATCGTCTTGCCCTTTTTGCAGCAAGAGGTACAGCTCCTCCGCGAATTTTGACAGACATCTTCGAACGATCCATCCTTTGGAAGCAGATGAATGGCTGGGAAATCAATATTCACTGCTGGAGCACGATCAACCTGCAGAGACCCCCGACAACACTGACGAGAGCCCAGAGAGCATTCCCGATTACTATTCAGACACGCATTACGATTCAGAGTCGGACATTTTCGACCAAGATTCGGGTAACAATTCGGACCTCGAATCCGAATCATATTTCGTGATGGAAGAGGCAGATGGCGATTCAAATGGGCATAGTAGGGCATCTACGACAGTTTACGAGGGTGCTGGGGAGCCACTTTACCGCTCGGAGGACTACGACGAGTGCTCACAGAGCCTTCTCCAATACCCATGGCACCCATTCCGGTCAGCATACGAGTTCAGAATAGCACGCTATTTCACACTGTCCAAAGCCTCACAGGGGAACATCGACAGCTTCTTTCTACACGCTCCGCCGAGTAGTGGCGAGTGCTCCTACAGCACTGGGCGGGGTTTTATCAAGAGGTTGGAGGAAATGAACGATATACTGGGAAAGGCGAGCTGGAATCATTCGGAGGTGGATATTGGGGGGGAGAAGATCTCTTACTACTACCGGGATCCAATGGTAGTCGTCCGATATCTTCTAGGGCAACGTGCCTTCCGGGAGTCATTGGTGTATTCGCCCGTGGTGGAGCATAATGAATTCGGCGAGCGAATGTACGGGGAAATGCATACAGGAGATTGGTGGTGGGAGATACAGGTCCGTAAACTTCACCCTGTCAACTTGAGGTGCTCTATGAGCAGTCGATGATGCTACAGGAGCAGTCGCTAATGTCTTCTCGACAGAATACGTTACCGGAGGGGTCCACTGTCGTACCAATTATCTGCGCGTCGGATGGCACACATCTGACAAATTTCAGCGGGGACAAGAAAGCCTGGCCAATCTATCTTACCATCGGGAACATCAAGTCGTCGGTGCGCAACAAGCCCACAGGGCATTCATTCATTCTCCTAGGGCTGCTACCAGTGCCACCGAAGCTCGGAAAGAATACAACACTCGCTAATTCCGTTTTAAGACGTCAGAGTCAAATGGCACTGCATCGTGCCCTTGGGGAGATCTTTCAAAGCATTCGCGAGTGCTCTCAGGAGGGCGAGCTAATCAAATGCGCCGACGGCTACGAACGACTATGCTTTCCGGTGCTCTCGGGCTGGATCGCCGATCAACCCGAGCATTCAAACTTGCAAAACATTAGCACTAGTGCTTGCCCGAGATGCGAGGTGGAGTTTCACAATCTTGGGAGCACTCGTCGAAGCTCTATGCGCAATCACGAGGACTACAGGGAGAGGGTACAGCTATTTGGCGAGAACCCGGGCAATCTAGAACCGGTAGAATACCTTGTTGGGAGATCCGTCAAAACACTCTTCAATGCTTTCTGGGGTATGCCGAGGGTTAATCCGTACGATCTCAATAAACCGGACATACTGCACAATATTTACCTGGGGATGTTGAAGCACATGATGGAGTGGATTCAGGGTTTCTTGAAGAAGCATCATCGATTGGAGGAATTCGACAAAGCTTGGGCTTCGATTGCGCCTTACCCTGGACTAGCAGTACCAAACAAGGCATATCGTTCTACCACCCAATGGCAAGGGAAAGAGATGCGGAATCTGGGGCGGGTCGTTCTAGGAGCACTCGCGGCTGCTCTGAGAAACCCGGGAGTGGCTGTCAGGAGCGACTTCGCAAAAGCTTTGAAATGCGTTCGAAGCCTAATAGACTTCCACTTAATGGCGCAATATGGGAGTCATACAACGAGCACACTGGACTATATGGAGAGCTATCTCGAGGATTTCCATAAACACAAGGATATCTTTTTAGAATTCAGGGCGTACAAGAAGACGTTAAAGGATGCGAGAGATCGAACGAAAGCAATTAGTGGCTCCCAGAGCACCCAGCGAGGCTTGGAGGAGATCCGGGAGATTCGGGAAAGATCGCACTTCAACTTCATCAAATTGCACGTCTTAATGCACTACCGGGAGCACGTTGAGCGCTTTGGTAGCATTCCTCAATACTCCACGGACGTCAGCGAGCTTGCCCATGTACGGCAGGTAAAAGAAGCTTACAGAGCGTCCAACAAGGTTGATGCTGCGACGCAGATACTGGACTATGGAGGGAGGCGATTGGCGTTAGAGATTCGAATTCTGAATCTGAAAGACATCGTCGGAGGTTCTGAGAGCACTGACGACATCCTCTGGAGCCATCGGGATAACCTCAAGGAGTTGCTCGACATTTTCAAGATCGAGGACCGCAAGAAAACGCCAAATGAACGCTCAATAGTAGAAAGCGGACTGCCCCTGAAGCGTCTTTGCAACCCCTCCGCGAAATCGGAAAGACTTTTCAACGTGGCAGACGGACTGCAAATGAGCCATCTCACGCTATATCGCCTGATAAAGGAGTATGCCGAGGATGCGGGATGCTCTCAGAGCTTTGCCGGAAGCTCTGAGAGCATGTTGGAGCGCCGGGTGGAGGTTTTCACATGCTTGCAGGTTCCGATACCAATCTTCCAAAGGCCTGACGTATACGAGGTTCACAACATCAGGTGTACGGGAACAGCATCTTTTAGGAAGGGGAAAATAAGAAAGGATTGGGCATGGGTATCGGTAGGTTCCTCAGAGCAGTGGGGAGTGTTTCGGGGACGCTTACCAGGACGTGTGGAGGCTCTGTTCAAGGTGCGGGATAGCACAGGGCGCGCACATAGACTATGTGTAGTTGAGCTGCTTGAGGCGAAGGATCGTGGTATCGCTGATAGCTCACATGGGCTGCTGAAGGTCTGTAGGAGGAGGAGGAAGAGGATGTGGGTCGTGAATATTCGGAGTATATTAGGAATGGCCCATTTGTTCGAGGTGGATGCTGGCAATTGGCTGGTAAATACTAGGATAGATTTGCGTACGTGGAATGAATTCAGTTGAATGCTGTAAAGCATTCCCGAGTGCTATGCAGTGATGTGAGAGGATCACCGAGTGCTATGCAGTGATGTGAGAGGCTTACCGGGTGCTATCCAGTGAGAGCATTACCGAGTGCTATCCAGTGATGTGAGAGGATTACCGAGTGCTATCTAGTGATGTGAGAGGATTACCGAGTGCTATCCAGTGATATGAGAGGAATACCGAGTGCTATCCAGTGATATGAGAGGAATACCGGGTGCTATTCAGTGAATGCTCTGAGGGCAGTGGCGAGTGCTCTACGAGTGGAATGTTAGACCCAATAGGACCGTCTAATTCAAAATTCGTGTCGTTCTGCTAGTACGCATGCGGATTGGAAGAGGGAGGTGAGTATCGGCCGCTCAGTATCTGAGTCTGACTATCCAGCAAGCCAGCTCCAGGAGGGCGCGGTAGGCAGGCATTGGTCTTCCGACCAGTAAAGTCATCCTGCACCTTTTTCCAGTCCATGTTTGCTGCTTATGCATGGACATTGAGCTTTTCAGACGAGCCGTACCATGGCCTCAACCTCAAGGCTTATGCCTTTCACGAATCGACAGATACATACACGTTCGTCAAAGGTTTGGTAGCCATCTCCAGTATACACGACAGTGCTCGTATCAGTATTCCACGACTGACCGTTCAGCGGCGTGAAGAATAGCCACGTGAGATATCGTTTGAGGGACCGGCGATGCCTACCTTGCCTTTGAAGAAAGCGTATCGATTCATATGGGTCTAAGTGGGGGGTGTCCCACCTTGAATAGTATTATTAAAGATGTTTCCGCAGCTCTACGAGCATTGGTCAGTGCTATGGAAGCATTCGTGGTGCTCTCCGGACGTGAGCAATATCTCTTGGCAGTGCCTGGAAAAACTCATTGACGAAGAGTGTCTTGGCGTGGGCGATATGCTCTGGCGGTGCCTGGCGAGCAGCTCGTTGAGAATGCTCTCCTGGCGCAGATAGTACTGACGAGTGCTCTCTAGGCGTGAGCGATATGCTCTGGCAGCGCCTGGCGAGCAGCTCGTTGTGATTTGATCTCCTGGCGCAGATATTACTGACGAGTGCTGTCAGGGCGCTGACGCTGTCTCCTGGCGGGCCCCGACACGTCCGTGATTCGTTGCCAGTCCCTGGGCGGAAACTCATTAGTTGATCGTTCTTCAGACGCAGGAGGCATACCCAGGCGTGTCATGGCGGAGAGAGCATCGCCGGGTGCTCTCAGGACGAGCACCATATCGCCTGGAGGTGCATGACGCGTGAAAGTGCACGACGCGCCTAGAGAAGATTGCGGAGAGAGCATTGCTGGGTGCTCTATGGATGTAGGTGATATCGCTCAGAGTACTCTGTAGACAGTAGCATTAGCGAGTGCAAAGAAGCTCATTAGGGAGTACGAATATGCTGCTCTGACAGCGGACTGCTTGGAGCGAGTGCTCTGCTTGGATCGAGTGCTCTGCTGGAGCGAGTGCTCGAGTTGCAGTCGTGAAAAGCTCTCTTCTCTGACGTGGTCAGATGATTGGCACTGCGCTCTGGCGGAGTGTATAGACGATTATGCGCCCTGGTGCTGCCAGACAGAGAACATACTGCTCTGGGGGCGTCGGGCGCGGATGCTAGGATCGCCTGGCGCGAGCACCCTGCTGTGGCGACGCCTGGCGCGAGCACCCTGCTGTGGCGACGCCTGGCGCGAGCACCCTGCTGTGGCGACGCCTGGCGCGAGCACCCTGCTGTGGCGACGCCTGGCGCGAGCACCCTGCTGTGGCGACGCCTGGCGCGAGCACCCTGCTGTGGCGACGCCTGGCGTGAGGACCCTGCTGTGGCGACGCCTGGCGTGAGGACCCTGCCCTGGCGACGCCTGGCACGAGCACTCTGCCTTGGCGGCGCCTGGCGTGCCTGGCGCCCAGGGCGTAGGCGCTGCGCCCTGAGGAATAGCAGAGTTTGCTGATGTAGCGGCGGCATATAGGCGCTCTAAGAATGTATTCTGCAATTGGTTCACCCTGACAGCCGCTGTTACGGGCATGCCAAGCATTTACGGAAGTGAGAGAAAAGGCTAGTAGATACCCCAATACCCTCTGTACGCTAATGTCATCTCTGGACCGCACTCGCGGAGTGTGGTGCGACCAATATACGATCAAAACACGGAGTCATAAAAAATACGTTTTCGACCCCAATAATAACCCCCGGAGCGTCAAACTGCCGGAGGGGAGTGCTTTTGGACCGGTGGATATATAAGGGACAGCTGGAATCAATCGGATCGAAGATCGGACCGCTCGGAGCGAATCGGCGCAAGCTGCCAGCCGACCGAGTACCTATCGGCGGTACCTGTGGGCATGAGAGGACTCTGCTATGTGGGAAAGCGATGTGGGAAGAGGCCTGAGTAGGTAGCCTTGCCGTCCGAGACCTCCGAATAGCCGACGCTGACGATTATCCACCAGACGGCCGATGGAGAAGAAATATCGACAGGGAAACGTGCATTAGAGTGGATAAATAGGTTGAGGGGTTTTAGCGGGTTTAGGAGTTTGGGTTACGGACTTAGGAGTTAAATGTTCTTGGTTGTTTTTCAGGGTCTCGGGCATGCCCCGAGTGTATTCTGTATTATTAGTAGACTGGGTCCTCGAGACATAAGCGAGGGATATAAATACTGTGTCATTCACTGACTAGCCAAACCATCATCGGCGAAATCAGAGTCTTAACAATATAAATCGTTGATACGCGAGTTACAACTTTATTTGACTATACTTTCTGAAATACTTTACCCTATCGTGACTTCGAACTCTACCTGAACTATTATGTCGAAGACGGTCGAATACTATACGCTAACTCTAGTGAATCTTTGTTGATAACGTAGCTCGCGGGGCCCGTATCAGATCAAGGAGAATCATCCTCGACTTTGACTGAAGAGACCTTGGAAGCTTCTACCTTTGTAGTTGTTAGCCGAACTCTGAGCTCTGCGTAGTGTACTCTTGTGGTCTGGTACGCATCCCTCACAGCCGCTAGCTTTGCAGGATCCAAAACCAATTGACCTGGCCTAAAAAAGATCTGTGGCTCCGGCTGCAAAGTTTCACCTCCCTCTCCAAGGCGGTGATCCCAGCGCCTAGATAGCACATCAGTCTTGCCATTCTTTTCTCCCGGTCTGTAGACAACTTTGAAATTGTAGCCTGCGAGGTCCTCGGACCATCTAGCTTGCCGCCTAGTGAGAACCTTGATAGAATTAAAATACTCCAAGTTCTTGTGGTCTGTGAAAACCGTGATCTCTTGCTCACAAGATTTGAGCATGTGTTCCCATTCCCGGAAAGAGGCTACAATAGCTCCCATTTCCTTATCATGAATGTCATAGTTGATCTCAGCAGGGGAGAACTTCTTAGAATAGAATGCCACCGGATGTAGCTTCCCATCATCCCCATACTGAGAGAGCACCGCTCCCTTGGCAAAATCACTGGCATCTGTCTCGACCACCGTTCTCCTACTAGGGTCAAAATGAAGGAGGATTGGAGCGCTTGTGAACAGCCTCTTGAGTTCTTCAAAGGCCTGCTCATGTGCTGCCGTCCAATACCATTTCTTGTCTTTTTGCAGGAGGTCAGTTAATGGTTTGCAAACTTTACTGAAGCCTTCAATAAAGCGGCGATAGAAGTTTGCAAATCCGAGAAATGCCTGTACTGCCTTGATATTCTCAGGGACCGGCCATTCCTTAACTGCCTCCACCTTGTCTTCTGACATAGATACTCCTTCTTCCGAGATGTGATAGCCTAGGTATTCTACTTCTCGGACATGGAAGGATGTCTTACTGATCGAGGCACAGAGCTTAGCTTTCCTAAGCTTCTGTAGTACCTTCTTGACCAATAGCTCATGCTCTTTCTCAGTCTCCGAGTAGATGAGGATGTCATCAATATAGACAACTACTCCTTCATCCAGTAGTTCCTTTAGCACATCATTGATCATTGCCTGGAAAGCGGAGGGAGCATTGCATAGACCAAATGGCATCACATTATACTGATACAGCCCATAGCGGGTTCTGAAAGCGGTTTTCCACTCATCACCTTCTGCTATCCTGATCAAATTGAAGCCGTTCTTCAGGTCTATCTTTGTGAAGATCTTGGCCTTGAACAACCTGTCTCTGAGCTCACTCATGATAGGCAGCGGGTACTTGTCCTTGACAGTGACCTTGTTCAATCCTCTGTAGTCCACACAAATCCGCAATGTCCCATCTTTCTTAGGAATGAACAGTATGGGCGCCGCAGCAGGGCTGTTAGATCTAGAGATCTTTCCTGAAGACAATTCTTTGTCCAGGTACTCTCGGAGGGCCTTCAACTCTGGAGCGGAACATGGGTACAGCGGGCCAAATGGGGGAGCGGTACCAGGCAAGAGTTTGATCTTCAAATCATTATGGGAATGCGGCGGCATTTCCTCAATCTTCTCTTGACTGAACACATCAGCCCAATCCCGGTATAGGTGGTGTATTTTCTCAGCAATATCACCTCCGTCCTCATCATACCATACTGAACCAACCAATTGATAGACTGTCTCTTCTTCTTCCAACATCTGGTATGGAGAGATCAGTTCAATCTTGGTGACCGCTGGGAGACAATTCTGCTTGCAGTAGTCACTCCTCCAGCTCATGGTGTTGAGTTCCCAGTTGATGTCCGGGTTATGCTTCCTAGCCCAACTAATTGGCAGGTAACCGGTCATTCCTTCTTCCAAAGTAGCCACTTCCCATCGGAGTGTCTCTTTATGATCTCCCATAATCATGCGGACCGGGTGAGTGTAATACTCGCCTCCTCCCATCATGACATCTCCTTGAGCATCAAACATTGTCAGAGGTTGATCCCGCCGCATCTCAAGGGGGTGTGTAGCGAGTATTCCGCAGGGTACGAAGGGGGGAATAGGGGATGGTATGAGAACTTGTAATAGGGGCACTACGAGACTCTAGCGTTTGGTAAGGTTCGACGGGATACGGAGGAAGCGAGGCGATGGTCTTCTTAAAGGAAGAAGAGGACGGTAATATTGTATAGCAATAAACAGCGTAGATACAGAAGACGTTGCGTAAGGAAAGAAGAAGAAGAAAACGAAATACGAACAAAACCCCCCTTAATATACTCAAGGGAATCCCAGCGATGACAAATCCAACACGACTCATACATTAACGATCAACAGAACCCGGTAGAACCCAATAGAACCTTTCTGACTAATTCGACTCTTCATAACCCCGTACCTCCACTAGTCGATCCATGAAAGTAGCCCTTCCCTTCAAGCGCGAGCTCCTGCGAGCCTTAACCTTAGCCTTTCCTTCCAATGGTCCAGGTTTGTCGGGGTAGCGTATGTGAAAGATATCAACGGCGGCGGTATTGTCGTGGTATGCGGCGGGTTCCCAGGTAGGGTCGGTATAGCCTGTCCATTTAACAAAGTATTGTAGGCCAGTGTTCCGTAATTCTCGCGAGTCCAAGATTTCCTCAACTGCATACTCCTCCTCTTGTTCGACGATAATGGGCGGAGGTGGTGGTTGAATTTGCCCTGGGACAGGATCATTCGCGGCGGGGTCCAGCAGTGATACATGGAAGACGGGGTGCATCTTCATGCTTCTAGGCAGGTCGACTCGATACGCATATGGCGATATAATTTCCTTAACGGGGAACGGTCCCAGTTTCTTCCAGTCCAGCTTCCGGGAATTACGCGTGGTTCGGATGTTTTTTGCTGAAACAAACACCATATCACCGACCTCGTACCGTGGGGCCGGTGTTCGTTTAGTATTGACGGCCTGCTCTTGTTGATCCTGCGCTGTGCGGATATTGGAACTTAGGTGCTCATGGAGTTCTCTCATCTTCAAGGCGAAGTCTTTAGCATTGAGGCTCGGTGGGGTCCTGTCAAGCGATTTAATCGTCACTGTAAACCGGGGGTGGAACCCATAGTTCGCGAAGAATGGTGTAGCTTTGGTGGATGCGGAGACCTGATTGTTGGCGGAGAATTCTGCCATAGGAAGCCATTTTACCCAATCGTCCTGTTGATAAGAGACATACCCAAGTAGATATTGCTCCATTACGGCATTCAGCCTTTCGGTTTGGCCGTCGGTCTCCGGGTGGAAGGCGGTGGACATCCTTGCTTCGATGTTGAGATGTTTACAAAGGGCCTTCCAAAACTTAGCTGTAAATTGCGTGCCACGGTCGGAGGTGATGTGTGTGGGTAGCCCGTGGAGCTTCCATATATTTCGCAGATATAGTCGGGCGACGTCTTCGGAGTTGACAGTAGTATTGCAGGGCAGGAGATGTCGCATCTTTGTTAGCCGGTCAACCACTACCATAATTGCATCGTACCCTTCACTTTCCGGTAGGCCAGTAACGAAGTCCATCGATACCTCCTGCCATGGTTGTTCGGGAATCGGTAAAGGTCGAAGTACGCCGAGTTTTCCATGGGTGTTGGGTTTGCTTCGTTGACAGGTGTGGCAGTTCCGAACGTAGCGGGCAATATAATTTCGCATGAGGGGCCAGTAGTAGTCCAGACTGACGAGTTCGAATGTTTTTTCGCGTCCCGGGTGTCCAGCAGAGGCAGCGTCATGGTAAAGTTGGAGGATTCGGAGCTTAAGAGGGTCGTGATCAGGGGCAGATATGCTACCTCGGTAAAGCAATCGGCCTTCAACCTCAGTGCATTCGGCGAGTGATATGTCCTTTGATTGTCGGTCGCCTTTATTCCGCATATCCAGTATTTTTTGGGGAAACGGGTCAGCGCTATATCCTTCATCGAACAATTCCTGCAGTGAGGCTGTTACGGGCATGCCAAGCATTTATGGAGTGAGAGAAAGGCTAGTAGATACCCCTATACCCTTTAATACTAATGGCAACACCACTATCAACTCCGGTTCGCACCTACGAGGTACGGTGCGATCAATATGCGACCAAATGCGGAGTTGCGGTTTTCCTAGTTAAAAAACACGTTTTCGACCCCAATAATAACCCCCGGAGCGTCAAACCGCCGGAGGGGAGTGTTTTGGTACCGGTGGATATATGAGGGACAGCTGGAATCAATCGGATCGAAGATCGGACCGCTCGGAGCGAATCGGCGCAAGCTGCCAGCCGACCGAGTACCTATCGGCGGTACCTGTGGGCATGAGAGGACTCTGCTATGTGGGAAAGCGATGTGGGAAGAGGCCTGAGTAGGTAGCCTTGCCGTCCGAGACCTCCGAATAGCCGACGCTGACGATTATCCACCAGACGGCCGATGGAGAAGAAACATCGACAGGGAAACGTGCATTAGAGTGGATAAATAGGTTGAGGGGTTTCAGCGGATTTAGGAGTTTGGGTTACGGACTTAGGAGTTAAATGTTCTTGGTTGTTTTTCAGGGTCTCGGGCATGCCCCGAGGGTATTCTGTATTATTAGTAGACTGGGTCCTCGAGACATAAGCGAGGGATATAAATACTGTGTCATTCACTGACTAGCCAAACCATCATCGGCGAAATCAGAGTCTTAACAATATAAATCGTTGATACGCGAGTTACAACTTTATTTGACTATACTTTTGGAAATACTTTATTCTATTGTGACTTCGAACTCTACCTGAACTATTACGTCGAAGACGGTCGAACATCACACGCTAACTCTAGTGAATCTTTGTTGATAACGTAGCTCGCGGGGCCCGTATCGGATCAAGGAGAATCATACTCGACGTTGACTGAAGAGACCTTGGAGACTTCTACCTTTGTAGCTGTTAGCCGAACTCTGAGCTCTGCGTAGTGTACTCTTGTGGTCTGGTACGCATCTCTCACAGTATATTGTTACTCACAAGTTCACTTGGAGTAACGAAGTCACCTCAAAAAAAGAAAACTATCAACATTATCCCCTATTACAATGACTACCCGAAGGGATAATTACTTCATAGATACCTCGGCCGTAACTGAGGAGGCCGGAGGAGAAGATTCTATGGTGATATCAAGGGCTGCTAGCCCAGATCCCCTACTCCAGGGAGGACCCTCTACACACACTAGGTCGACGAAGAGAAACTCTGCTCAAGCCCAGTTTACGAGGTCCATGCAGGAGTTTTTGGATACCCATGAGGCACAAATGAGGTATCTTGGTGCAGCTGGACAGGCCGTTTGGCAGCAGCTACAAAACCTCCAGGAACAAGTGCAGGGGAGTGGGCAGGTTCTGGATAAGAAAGTACGGCAAGAAGCCATCGCCCAGAAGCAACATCTCGAATCGCTCTTTGAGCTCGTCTCCCATGTCCAACAAGAACACGAAGCAGCACGAGCCGCCGACCATGAGGTCCTGGACCGTAACCATCGAATTACCCAGAACCAACTGTTGGAGGCGGAACGGCAGCTGAGACTCGCAAGAGAAGAGCGAGAGCAGGAAAAAAGGGAACAGCGGGAACTGTTGGTACAATTCAAGCAGTCTGATGATGTAAGAAACCAACGAATAGCCGAGATGGAGGAACGCCTACGACAACATATGTCGGTAGCACCCTCCATGGTGAGCATTCCCCTGGACCCTACTGCACCCCAAACGGTTCCTGTTGGTAATGGCAAGAACCCCGAAAATGCTGGCCCAGTAGGAGGAAATGCTGGTCCCGTAGGAGGAAATGGAGGCAGGCAACCAGAGGATGCCGGCCCAGTGCAGGGAAATAGTGGCAAGAAACCGGTGGGAGCTGCCCCCGTCGGCGGGAATGGTGGAAATCAACCTCCCCAGAACCCACCAAGAGGAAACGTTGGGGGAGACCCAGAACCTTCCGACGACGATGACGACGATAACAGTGAATGGTCGCACGGTCGGAAGAATTGGAGAAGGAACCGAGGCGGGAACCGGAATTCGGCGCCGCCTGAAAATGACGATATGGTAGATTCGCTCGCCAAAATACCCTTCGAGTTCGATAATGCCAGAAAGCATAACCTGCGGCATTGGCTCATGGAGTGCGAGATCTACTTCGAGCAAAAGCCCAAGAAGTTCCGAACGGACAGAAACAAGGTACTGTTTGCTGGAACGTATACGTGTGGGTTGGCCAAGGAATGGTTCATGGAATACATCGAGACCAAGATGCTAGGACCGGCAGCCACGGACTACGCTACTTGGACTCGGTTCCGTCAGGAGATTAGGAAACGTTTTCTAAGCACTCAAGAGGCTATGGAGAACGCGATGAAGATGCAGCAGTTTAAGTACTCTGCCAACATCGGAGACTACCTGACGAGAATGGAGATCATGAACCAGCATGCTCAGATGAAAGGAGCATCCTATCGCGCCGCCCTGCTCCAAGGGCTACCAAATGAAATCCGGGAGCGCCACTCACGCTTCGATCCAACCGATGACGACTCCGAGTACATCCAACAGTTGGAACGAGCCGGCAAGGCTCATGAGGCTTTGTTACGGGCATGCTAAGTATTTACGGGAGTGGGAGAAAGGCTAGTAGATACCCCAATACCCTCTGTATGCTAATATCAACTCTTGACCACACTCGCGGAGTGTGGTGCGACCAAATTACGACCAAAAAACCCAGAGTCATAAAAAACACGTTTTCGACCCCAATAATAACCCCCGGAGCGTCAAACCGCCGGAGGGGAGTGTTTTGGTACCGGTGGATATATGAGGGACAGCTGGAATTAATCGGATCGAAGATCGGACCGCTCGGAGTGAATCGGCGCAAGCTGCCAGCCGACCGAGTACCTATCGGCGGTACCTGTGGGCATGAGAGGACTCTGCTATGTGGGAAAGCGATGTGGGAAGAGGCCTGAGTAGGTAGCCTTGCCGTCCGAGACCTCCGAATAGCCGACGCTGACGATTATCCACCAGACGGCCGATGGAGAAGAAACATCGACAGGGAAACGTGCATTAGAGTGGATAAATAGGTTGAGGGGTTTCAGCGGGTTTAGGAGTTTGGGTTACGGATTTAGGAGTTAAACGTTCTTGGTTGTTTTTCAGGGTCTCGGGCATGCCCCGAGTGTATTCTGTACTATTAGTAGACTGGGTCCTCGAGACATAAGCGAGGGATATAAATACTGTGTCATTCACTGACTAGCCAAACCATTATCGGCGAAATCAGAGTCTTAACAATATAAATCGTTGATACGCGAGTTACAACTTTATTTGACTATACTTTCTGAATTACTTTACTCTATCGAGACTTCGAACTCTACCTGAACTATTACGTCGAAGACGGTCGAACATCAAACGCTAACTCTAGTGAATCTTTGTTGATAACGTAGCTCGCGGGGCCCGTATCGGATCAAGGAGAATCATACTCGACGTTGACTGAAGAGACCTTGGAGACTTCTACCTTTGTAGCTGTTAGCCGAACTCTGAGCTCTGCGTAGTGTACTCTTGCGGTCTGGTACGCATCCCTCACAGTATATTGTTACTCACAAGTTCACTTGGAGTAACGAAGTCACCTCAAAAAAAAAAAACTATCATCGTTATCCCCTATCACAATGACTACCCGAAGGGATAATTACTTCATAGATACCTCGGCCGTAACTGAGGAGGCCGGAGGAGAAGATTCTATGGTGATATCAAGGGCTGCTAGCCCAGACCCTCTAATTACGGGAGGACCCTCTACACAAACTAGGTCAACGAGTAAACGCTCTGCTCAAGCCCAGTTTGTGAGGAATATGCAGGAATTTTTGGATACCCACGAGGCACAAATGAGGTATCTTGGTGCAGCTGGACAAGCCGTTTGGCAGCAGCTACAAAATCTCCAGGAACAAGTCCAAGGGAGTGGGCAAATCCTGGACAAGAAGGTACGGCAAGAAGCCATTGCCCAAAAACAACATCTGGAATCGCTCTTTGAGCTCGTCTCCAGTGTCCAACAAGTACACGAAGCTGCACGAGCCGCCGACCATAAGGTTCTGGAGCAAAGTCATCTGCAAACCCAGAACCAGCTACAGGAGGCGGAGCGACAACTGAGGATGGTGAGAGAAGAGCGGGAGCAGGAAAAAGGGGAGCAACGAGCTTGGTTTGCGGAATTCAAGCGGTCCGATGCGGAGAGAAACCAACGGATAGCCGAGATGGAGGAACTACTGCGACAACATCTGTCAGTAGCACCTTCCGTGGCAAGTGCTCCCTTAGACCCTAATGCACCCCAAACGGTTCCTGTCGGCAATGGCAAGAAACCCGAAAATGCTGGCCCAGTAGGAGGAAACGCTGGCCCAGTAGGAGGAAATGGAGGCAGGCAACCGGAGGATGCCGGCCCAGTGCGGGGCAATAGTGGCAGAGGACCGGTGGGAGCTGCTCCAGGGGGTGGGAATGGTGGAAATCAACCTCCACAAAACCCACCAAGAGGAAACGTTGGGGGAGACCCAGAACCTTCCGACGACGATGACGACGATAACAGTGAATGGTCGCACGGTCGGAAGAATTGGAGAAGAAACCGAGGCGGGAACCGGAATTCGGCGCCGCCTGAAGACGACGATATGGTAGATTCGCTCGCCAAAATACCCTTTGAGTTCGATAATGCCAGGAAGCATAACCTGCGGCATTGGCTCATGGAGTGCGAGATCTACTTCGAACAGAAACCTAAGAAGTTCCGAACGGACAGGAACAAGGTACTGTTCGCCGGAACGTATACGGGTGGGTTGGCAAAGGAATGGTTCATGGAATACATCGAGACCAAGATGCTAGGACCGGCAGCCGCGGACTACGCTACTTGGACTCGGTTCCGTCAGGAGATTAGGAAACGTTTCTTAAGCACTCAAGAGGCTATGGAGAACGCGATGAAGATGCAGCAGTTTAAGTACTCTGCTAACATCGGAGACTACCTGACGAGAATGGAGATCATGAACCAGCACGCTCAGATGAAAGGAGCATCCTATCGTGCCGCCCTACTCCAAGGGCTACCAAATGAAATCCGAGAGCGCCACTCACGCTTCGATCCAACCGAGGACGACTCCGAGTATATCCAACAGTTGGAACGAGCCGGTAAGGCTCATGAGGCTTATCAAGAGCAGATGAAGATGTTGGGGAAAGCGGAGTCGAGAGGAAGGGAGACAAATAATGGTGGGAACTCGCGGCAAAAGGAGAAGGGGTTTAAGATCAAGGGCACGGGACACGCCTTTACACAACCATTAATTATAATGTCAAGGGGGCATCAAACACAGTTGTCATTCGAGATCGCCCCTCTCCCGGTTGGCATCGATGCCATATTACCGAACTGGTGGTTGAAAGAACATAAGCCGGTTATAGGGTCAAATGGGGAAGTTTCCTACGATGGCGAGAACTGCAAAAATCGATGCTTCACTGACAAGGAACCTCAAATAGAAATGGACGAGGGAGTATTGGACGATCCGGAGGCCCAATTTATCGGTAGCATTTGTCTTTTGGAAGACGAATCGGTTAACCTCCGCGAAACCCTTCCCTCTTGGCTCCATGGGTTCCTTAAAGTCTTCCTACCGTCGGAAGCAGACAAATTACCACCGCATCGATCTTATGACCATGCGATAGATCTTGAACCAGGTAAACAGCCACCATGGGGACCCGTCTACTCCCTATCCGAAGTCGAGCTGAAGGTACTTCGGGAGTACCTGGACAAAATGTTGCGATTGGGAAAGATTAGGCCGAGCAAATCCCCGGCAGGAGCCCCAATCCTATTTGTGAAAAAGAAGGACGGTAGTCTACGACTTTGCGTTGACTACCGTGGACTTAACCGCGTGTCCATTAAGAACAGGTATCCGTTACCACTTATGGACGAACTACGAGATCGAGTGGCAGGCGCGGTTATCTTCTCGAAGATTGACCTGAAGGAAGGTTACAACCTCATCAGGATCAAAGACGGCGACGAGTGGAAGACAGCATTCCGTACGCGGTACGGACATTTTGAGTACCTCGTTATGCCTTTTGGGCTGGCAAATGCGCCAGCGACCTTCCAGAACATGATGAATGATGCGCTGAGGGAATTCTTGGATCAAGGGGTAGTAGTATACCTTGATGATATCCTAATATATAGCAAGTCTCGAGAGGAACACAGGGAGCTGGTCGGCAAAGTACTTAGCAGGCTACAAGAATACAACCTGGTCGCCAACCCGAAGAAATCGTTCTTCGAGCTCACCGAAATCGAGTTCCTCGGATACATCCTTGCCCCAGCAGGCGTCACCATGGCACTGGATAAGGTTATGTCTGTTACGAATTGGCAAGCCCCGCGTAGCGTTAAGGAAGTACAGATCTTCATGGGCTTTGCCAACTTCTACAGAAGGTTTATCCACAATTTCTCCGGGGTCTGTAAACCCATTACCGATTGTCTCAGGGGTGATGCTAAGAACTTTGTCTGGTCTATGACGGCCCAAGCAGCCTTCGAAAAACTCAAAACCCTGTTTACGTCTGCGCCGATCTTGATACACTTCTCTCCAGATCGCCAGACTATCGTGGAAACGGACGCAAGTGATTTTGCTATCGCCGCAATTCTATCCCAGGTTATTGACGGAAAGACTCACCCTGTTGCCTTTTATTCTCGAAAGCTTAACCCAGCGGAACTCAACTACGACGTCTGGGATAAGGAGATGCTAGGAATTGTGTCGGCCTTCAAGCAATGGCGTCACTACCTCGAAGGACCTAGCCGAACGGTTCTCGTCTACACAGATCATAAGAACTTGGAATATTTCTCAACAACCAAGGTTCTTAACCGACGACAGGCAAGGTGGGCTGAGTCTTTGGCGGAATTTGATTTTAAGATTATTTACCGCCCGGGAACCAAAAATGGGAAGGCAGATGCACTATCGCGACGGCCGGAGTACCGTCCTGAAGGGGGAGGCACGCTTGGGAAACAGCCGATAGACAGGTTCTTTAAGCCCGGACAGTTGGCGGAGGAAGAGTTTGTGGTATCAGCGGTGTCGCTTGCCTCCAAGGGGGTGATTGACTGGTCTAAGAATTTTCTGGATCATGTCAGGCAGGCGGCATCGGGAGACCCGACATGGGTAGGATTGAAAGAGAGAGTTGAGCAAGGGGAGAAGCTGGGGGAATTAAAGGATATCGCTGAGAAAGACGGGCTACTCTTCTATAAGAACTGACTCTACATCCCGGCAGACGACCGTATCAAGATCCGAATCGCACAAGCAGAACACGACTCGAAAGTGGCAGGACACTTTGGACAAGACAAGACACTGGAACTCATCACGCGTAACTTCTATTGGCCAAAAATGAACGAGTGGATTGATGACTACGTTCGGTCATGTGACGAGTGCCAGCGCAACAAACCCAGCCGCCACAAGAAATACGGCGCGCTTCTACCACTGTCCACGCCACATTCTGTCTGGCAATCGATATCAATGGACTTCGTCGTGCAGTTACCGGAATCAAAGGGATATAACCAAATCTGGGTAGTAGTCGATAGGTTCTCGAAGATGTCGCACTTCATCCCCCTAGTAGCAGAAACGACCGCGCAGGATTTAGCGAAGATATTCCTCGGTCAAATCTGGCGACTCCATGGGCTGCCTCTTGATATAGTTTCCGACAGGGACGCCAAGTTTACTTCGAGTTTTTGGGCATCCCTTATGGAATTATTGGACGTGAGGATAAGAATGAGTACGGCTTTCCACCCTCAGACCGATGGGCAAACAGAGCGAGTCAACCAAACCCTCGAGCATTACCTACGAGCGTTCTGCAACTACGAACAAGATGATTGGGCAGAGCTACTCCCGTTGGCGGAGTATGCTTACAACAATTCGGTTACCACCGCCACGGGTCAATCTCCGTTCTATACCAATTACGGTTACAACCCAAGAACCAACTGGCCGACGGAAGCCGAAGTGGTCAATCCAACCAGTGACCTGTATGCTCACTTCATTCGAGGAGTTCACGATTCAGCTCTCGTTCGCTTAACAGATACCAGGGAGAAGATGGGAAAATACTATGATCGAAAAAGGGACGAACCGCCTAACTTCAAGGTGGGAGACATGGTTATGCTCAATGCGACCAATATCAAGACACGTCGCTCCACCAAGAAACTCGATCACAAGAAACTCGGCCTGTTCAAAATCATCCGACTAGCCGGGAAACGAGCCTGCGAACTGGAACTGCCGCCGCAAGTCAAAATCCATAATGTGTTCCATATTGAACTCTTGGAACGGTATCGACAGAGCATTATCCCAGGCCGAGAACAACTTCCCCCAACTCCCGAAGAGGTCGATAAGGAAGGAGAGGTGCTGTACGAAGTGGAAAGTATCGTGGGCAGCCGGAAAAGCAGAAGAGGATTAGTGGAATACCTGGTGAAATGGCGGGGCTATTCGATGAGTGACTGTACGTATCAAGTCATGGACGCTATGGATGAGGAAGTACTTGACCTTGTCCGCGACTTCCATCGAAGGAACCCCAAGGCCGTGAAGGACCAACGCCTGAGACTATAGAGGTACCCTACGGGGCTAAGTCCTTCCCCTCCACAGACACCGCGGGTGATATGTGGAGCAGGTTTACTGGAACCATAGTCTGTCAGAAGATGTCCCGAGACGTGACACCCTGGAAGGGGGGTAAGCTGTTACGGGCATGCTAAGTATTTACGGGAGTGGGAGAAAGGCTAGTAGATACCCCAATACCCTCTGTATGCTAATATCAACTCTTGACCACACTCGCGGAGTGTGGTGCGACCAAATTACGACCAAAAAACCCAGAGTCATAAAAAACACGTTTTCGACCCCAATAATAACCCCCGGAGCGTCAAACCGCCGGAGGGGAGTGTTTTGGTACCGGTGGATATATGAGGGACAGCTGGAATTAATCGGATCGAAGATCGGACCGCTCGGAGTGAATCGGCGCAAGCTGCCAGCCGACCGAGTACCTATCGGCGGTACCTGTGGGCATGAGAGGACTCTGCTATGTGGGAAAGCGATGTGGGAAGAGGCCTGAGTAGGTAGCCTTGCCGTCCGAGACCTCCGAATAGCCGACGCTGACGATTATCCACCAGACGGCCGATGGAGAAGAAACATCGACAGGGAAACGTGCATTAGAGTGGATAAATAGGTTGAGGGGTTTCAGCGGGTTTAGGAGTTTGGGTTACGGATTTAGGAGTTAAACGTTCTTGGTTGTTTTTCAGGGTCTCGGGCATGCCCCGAGTGTATTCTGTACTATTAGTAGACTGGGTCCTCGAGACATAAGCGAGGGATATAAATACTGTGTCATTCACTGACTAGCCAAACCATTATCGGCGAAATCAGAGTCTTAACAATATAAATCGTTGATACGCGAGTTACAACTTTATTTGACTATACTTTCTGAATTACTTTACTCTATCGAGACTTCGAACTCTACCTGAACTATTACGTCGAAGACGGTCGAACATCAAACGCTAACTCTAGTGAATCTTTGTTGATAACGTAGCTCGCGGGGCCCGTATCGGATCAAGGAGAATCATACTCGACGTTGACTGAAGAGACCTTGGAGACTTCTACCTTTGTAGCTGTTAGCCGAACTCTGAGCTCTGCGTAGTGTACTCTTGCGGTCTGGTACGCATCCCTCACAGGCTTATCAGGAGCAGATGAAGATGTTGGGGAAAGCAGAGTCGAGAGGAAGGGAATCGAATAATGGTGGGAACTCGCGGCAGAAGGAGAAGGGGTTTAAGATCAAGGGGAGGGCTCAGACTGAGGAGAAGGAAAAAGGGCAAGATAAAAAGAGCACCAGCAAGAACAAGTCGGGGAACAAGCCAATATACCACGACTACGACGAAGCCACCAAAGGAGTTCCACAGCCGGTCCGAGAACAGCGAAAGACCGATGGAGCCTGTGTGCGATGTGGCCGAAAGGGTCATCTTTGGAAGTGGTGTCGTTCAGATGCTAACAGCAGTGCATCTATCTCCTCCTTCTCCCGAAAGCGTACCCGCGATGACGATGGTGACCACGATATGGAACCACCGGAACCCCAACCTCCGAGGAAGCGAATGAGGCACCGTGCTAAGAAGCCGGCTGCGACGGCTGCTGCGGAGTACACCAGTGGGCAAGCGTTTGTGCGAGAACGCGGATCGGAATCTGAGATGGATTTCGACGAGGATTTTTAAAAGGGGACTCTGATGAGTCAGGTCAGGAGTATCCCCAGATTGCTATGTTATCACTGACGGAAAACAACAAAAAAAATATGAAAAGAAAAAGGCAGGAAGGGAGAGCGTCCCATCCGGAGAAAAAACAGAAAATTTTGGAGGAACCTATTCATGGTCCTCGACCTATCGTTAATCAGTTCCTTTGTTTTGCGGAAAAATGTTTACCTTGTAAGGTGTTGTTGGATACTGGTGCAACTGGTCCTGTTTTGTCTGCTGTTTTTGTTGATAGTTTTGAGGTCCCGAAGGTGAAACGAGACGTCCCGGCCCGGGTATTTGGATTTACGGGAGAAGTTATGAAGGGCACGGGACACGCCTTTACACAACCATTAATGATAATGTCGAGAGGGCATCAAACACAGCTATCATTCGAGATCGCCCCTCTCCCAGTTGGCATCGATGCAATATTACCGAATTGGTGGTTGAAAGAACACAAGCCGGTTATAGGGGCAAATGGGGAAGTTTCCTACGATGGTGAGAACTGTAAGAGTCGATGCTTCACTGACAAGGAACCTCATATAGAAATGGACGAGGGTGTACTGAACGATCCGGAGGCCCAATTCATCGGTAGTATCTGTCTATTGGAAGATGAATCGGTCAACCTCCGTGAGACTCTTCCCTCTTGGCTCCATGGGTTCCTTAAAGTCTTCCTACCATCGGAAGCAGACAAACTACCACCGCATCGATCCTACGACCATGCGATAGATCTTGAACCAGGTAAACAGCCACCATGGGGACCTGTCTACTCCCTATCCGAAGTCGAGCTGAAGGTGCTTCGGGAGTACCTGGACAAAATGTTGCGATTGGGAAAGATTAGGCCGAGCAAATCCCCGGCAGGAGCCCCAATCCTATTTGTGAAGAAGAAGGACGGTAGTCTGCGACTTTGCGTTGACTACCGTGGACTTAACCGTGTGTCCATCAAGAACAGGTATCCGTTACCGCTTATGGACGAGCTGCGAGATCGAGTGGCAGGCGCGGTTATCTTCTCGAAGATTGACCTGAAGGAAGGTTACAACCTTATCAGGATCAAAGACGGCGACGAGTGGAAGACAGCATTCCGTACGCGGTACGGGCATTTTGAGTACCTCGTTATGCCTTTTGCACTGGCAAATGCGCCGGCGACCTTCCAGAACATGATGAATGATGCGCTGAGGGAATTCCTGGATCAAGGGGTAGTAGTATACCTTGATGATATCCTAATATATAGCAAGTCCCGAGAGGAACACAGGGAGCTGGTCGGCAAAGTACTTAGCAGGCTACAAGAATACGACCTGGTCGCCAACCCGAAGAAATCGTTCTTCGAGCTCACCGAAATCGAGTTCCTCGGATACATCCTTGCCCCAGCAGGCGTCACCATGGCACTGGATAAGGTTATGTCTGTTACGAATTGGCAAGCCCCGCGTAGCGTTAAGGAAGTACAGATCTTCATGGGCTTTGCCAACTTCTACAGAAGGTTTATCCACAATTTCTCCGGGGTCTGTAAACCCATTACCGATTGTCTCAGGGGCGATGCTAAGAACTTTGTCTGGTCTATGACGGCCCAAGCAGCCTTCGAAAAACTCAAAACCCTGTTTACGTCTGCGCCGATCTTGGTACACTTCTCTCCAGATCGCCAGACCATCGTGGAAACGGACGCAAGTGATTTTGCTATCGCCGCAATTCTATCCCAGGTTATTGACGGAAAGACTCACCCTGTTGCCTTCTATTCTCGAAAACTTAACCCAGCGGAACTCAACTACGACGTCTGGGATAAGGAGATGTTGGGAATTGTGTCAGCCTTCAAGCAATGGCGTCACTACCTCGAAGGACCTAGCCGAACGGTTCTCGTATATACGGATCACAAGAACTTGGAATATTTTTCAACAACCAAGGTTCTTAACCGACGACAGGCAAGGTGGGCTGAATCTTTGGCGGAATTTGACTTCAAGATTATTTACCGCCCGGGAACCAAAAATGGGAAGGCAGATGCACTATCGCGACGGCCGGAGTACCGTCCTGAAGGGGGAGGCACGCTTGGGAAACAGCCGATAGACAGGTTCTTTAAGCCCGGGCAGTTGGCGGAGGAAGAGTTTGTGGTATCAGCGGTGTCGCTTGCCTCTAAAGGAGTGATCGACTGGTCTAACAATTTTCTGGATCATGTCAGGCAGGCGGCATCGGGAGACCCGATATGGCTAGGAATGAGAGAGAGAGTTGAGCAAGGGGAGAAGCTGGGGGAATTGAAGGATATTGCCGAGAAAGATGGGCTACTCTTCTATAAGAACCGACTCTACATCCCGGCAGACGACCGTATCAAGATCCGAATCGCACAGGCAGAACACGACTCGAAAGTGGCAGGACACTTTGGACAAGACAAGACACTGGAACTCATCACGCGTAACTTCTATTGGCCAAAAATGAACGAGTGGATTGATGACTACGTTCGGTCATGTGACGAGTGCCAGCGCAACAAACCCAGCCGCCATAAAAAATACGGTGCGCTTCTACCACTGTCCACGCCACATTCTGTCTGGCAATCGATATCAATGGACTTCGTCGTACAGTTACCGGAATCAAAGGGATACAATCAAATCTGGGTAGTAGTCGATAGGTTCTCGAAGATGTCGCACTTCATTCCCTTAGTAGCAGAAACGACCGCGCAGGATTTAGCAAAGATATTCCTCGGTCAAATCTGGCGACTCCATGGGCTGCCTCTCGATATAGTTTCCGACAGGGACGCCAAGTTTACTTCAAGTTTTTGGGCATCCCTTATGGAATTGTTGGATGTGAGGATAAGAATGAGTACGGCTTTCCACCCTCAGACCGATGGGCAAACAGAGCGAGTCAACCAAACCCTCGAGCACTACTTACGAGCGTTTTGTAACTACGAGCAAGATGATTGGGCAGAGCTACTCCCGTTGGCAGAGTATGCTTACAACAACTCGGTTACCACCGCCACGGGTCAATCTCCGTTCTATACCAATTACGGTTACGACCCAAGAACCAACTGGCCGACGGAAGCCGAAGTGGTCAACCCAACCAGTGACCTGTACGCTCATTTCATCCGAGGAGTTCATGATTCTGCTCTCGCTCGCTTAACAGACACCAGGGAAAAGATGGGGAAATACTATGATCGGAAAAGGGACGAACCACCTAACTTCAAGGTGGGAGACATGGTTATGCTCAATGCGACCAATATCAAGACACGTCGCTCAACCAAGAAACTCGATCATAAGAAACTTGGCCCGTTCAAAATCATCCGACTAGCCGGAAAACGAGCCTGTGAATTGGAACTGCCACCACAAGTCAAAATTCATAACGTGTTCCATATCGAACTCTTGGAACGGTATCGACAGAGCAGTATCCCAGGCCGAGAACAACGTCCCCCAACTCCCGAAGAGGTCGATAAGGAAGGAGAGGTGCTGTACGAAGTGGAAAGTATCGTGGGGAGCCGGAAGAGCAGAAGAGGATTAGTGGAGTACTTGGTGAAATGGCGGGGCTATTCGATGAGTGATTGTACTTATCAAGTCATGGACGCTATGAACGAGGACGTACTTGATCTAGTCCGTGACTATCATCGAAGGAACCCCAAGGCCGTGAAGGACCAACGCCTGAGACTATAGAGGTACCCCACGGGGCTAAGTCCTTCCCCTCCACAGACACCACGGGTGATATGTGGAGCAGGTTTACTGGAACCATAGTCTGTCAGAAGATGTCCCGAGACGTGACACCCTGGAAGGGGGGTAAGCTGTTACGGGCATGCCAAGCATTTATGGAGTGAGAGAAAGGCTAGTAGATACCCCTATACCCTTTAATACTAATGGCAACACCACTATCAACTCCGGTTCGCACCTACGAGGTACGGTGCGATCAATATGCGACCAAATGCGGAGTTGCGGTTTTCCTAGTTAAAAAACACGTTTTCGACCCCAATAATAACCCCCGGAGCGTCAAACCGCCGGAGGGGAGTGTTTTGGTACCGGTGGATATATGAGGGACAGCTGGAATCAATCGGATCGAAGATCGGACCGCTCGGAGCGAATCGGCGCAAGCTGCCAGCCGACCGAGTAACTATCGGTGGTACCTGTGGGCATGAGAGGACTCTGCTATGTGGGAAAGCGATGTGGGAAGAGGCCTGAGTAGGTAGCCTTGCCGTCCGAGACCTCCGAATAGCCGACGCTGACGATTATCCACCAGACGGCCGATGGAGAAGAAACATCGACAGGGAAACGTGCATTAGAGTGGATAAATAGGTTGAGGGATTTCAGCGGCTTTAGGAGTTTGGGTTACGGAGTTAGGAGTTAAATGTTCTTGGTTGTTTTTCAGGGTCTCGGGCATGCCCCGAGTGTATTCTGTATTATTAGTAGACTGGGTCCTCGAGACATAAGCGAGGGATATAAATACTGTGTCATTCACTGACTAGCCAAACCATCATCGGCGAAATCAGAGTCTTAACAATATAAATCGTTGATACGCGAGTTACAACTTTATTTGACTATACTTTTGGAAATACTTTATTCTATTGTGACTTCGAACTCTACCTGAACTATTACGTCGAAGACGGTCGAACATCACACGCTAACTCTAGTGAATCTTTGTTGATAACGTAGCTCGCGGGGCCCGTATCGGATCAAGGAGAATCATACTCGACGTTGACTGAAGAGACCTTGGAGACTTCTACCTTTGTAGCTGTTAGCCGAACTCTGAGCTCTGCGTAGTGTACTCTTGTGGTCTGGTACGCATCTCTCACAGAGGCGTTCTTTTCAGCGGGCTCATTTGAGAAAGAACCCGCCAACAAACTTAGCTTTGTATCAAGATTCTCCTTCTTTAATACCACTTGACTCTGATGCAATTGCCTTTCATCCCCCTGTCCAGGGAGATCTCCTGATCTTCTTGTCAACGCGTCCGGTTTTCCTCCTTGTTTCCCTGGTCGGTACTTGATGACAAAGTTAAACCGTGACAGGTATTCTGCCCACCGTGCTTGTCTC